AAGCACAACTGTGTTATGCCTCTGGCACGACCCAACACCCAAAACGGTGGCTCTCGCCACCACCAAACCATGACCCCAAACCGTTGCGAAACAGACTGCCGGCACGCTGTCATTGCTTATCACCCTGTCAATCGAAAATTGTGTGGAAGGGCATGTGGGCTGATACAGGCAAGGGGCCAGTGGTGTGCACAAGCCTAATCAGCTACCGTGGAAGGTTGGGAGGGCAAGGAGGCAGCTCCACAACTAACAGGGGGCACCAGCGACGGCAGACCTGTATGCGGTGTTGGCCGATTGACTAGAGTTGTGAGAGAGCAGGTTCAACAGAGGTGAAGCTGCGAGGAGCCATCTGCCCATATTGTCAGTACCCACAGCAACAATGTATTGAGGCATGATTCACCTGCTGTTCAGGGACCTGGCCATTTAGATGGACTTTCCGCTGCGGAAGGTAGGCTGGCCTTTGTAGCGAGGCAGGGGCCGGCAGGAATGTACGGTATGCAAGCAACCTGTGCATGAGATCATCACGTACAACTTCTGCTCTGACGAATTCTAGGGCGCCATGGTTATGTTAAATGCTGTATGTTTGCAGTTGAATTCTGCAATGCAAGCACACAACCCCTATGTCCTGTTCACTTGATGGCATAACAGCTGTGTAGCCTGTGTCGGAGCACACTGTTTTGGACGTTGCTGCCCAGCGCTCTGTCTCAGGAGGTTGTATTAGCCCAGGATACGTGCAGCCCGTTGGGCAGTTCATAGCAGGGGCATGCGAACATGCAACAAAAGCAAGATAAATGCTGCACAGTGCCACCTTGCACGAGCACCAGCGAAGCGGACATCAGCACTGTTGCCAAATAAAGCGGCGCTGCCATGTGTCCTTGAACCCGGAAGTTTCAAGGCCACTGCATCATGTCATGCAGGCAGCACAGCCTGCCCTGTAAGGAGGGCTGCGTGCTGGACATGCGTCAGGGTTTAGCCCCCTGGAAAAGGTTCTGCAATCAACATGGACACAACCTCGCACAGCACAATACCTCGCAAGATCAATTGGCTGCACTGGCTGCTAGCCGTACGAGCTTGAACACTAGCCCCGCGAGAAGGCTGTATCATGGTTTGGTGGTGGCGAGAGCCACCGATTTGGGAGTGTGGTTTGCATGTGTAGCCACTGAGGGGCGTCACAGCAACAGCGGCCGGGAGGCCGCTTAACCGCCGAAGCCGTAGAGGGTACGGCCCTGGCGCTTAAGCGCATAGACGACGTCCATGGCCGTCACCGTCTTGCGGCGAGCGTGCTCGGTGTAGGTCACGGCGTCGCGCACCACGTTCTCAAGGAACACCTTGAGCACGCCGCGGGTCTCCTCGTAGATGAGGCCGCTGATGCGCTTAACACCGCCCCTGGGGGTTAGACGAGGTGGGTGAGGACAACAGGGGTGAGAACAAGGGGTAAGTGCTGATGAGCAGCGAGCAGCACCACAGGCAGCACCTGCGCAAGTCAACACTGCGCCGCTGCCTCCACCCCAACTGGCTAACCCAGCCAGCACCATGCCTCACACCTGCGGGCCAGGCGGCGGATGGCGGGCTTGGTGATGCCCTGGATGTTGTCGCGCAGCACCTTGCGGTGGCGCTTGGCGCCACCCTTGCCGAGGCCCTTGCCGCCCTTGCCGCGTCCAGACATGTTTGATGGGTGTTGTTGGGGTGGGTGTGCTGTGCCGAAGCAGTGAGTGTTGTGGCTGGTTCAGGGCGAACACACGGGTTTTGAAGGACGCCATGGAGCAACGAACGAGCCCAGCTTCGTGCTGCCTTCGCGCCGCTGAGTCAGCTACCCGCGAGCTTCGTCCTCTGCCGTCTGAGCGAGGGAAGGCATATGGAAGCTGCATGTTCTCGCACGATGTTGATAAGCATCGCCGTTGCTTACTGCCAGCTCACAAGCAACCTCCAGTACCCTCTGCTCACCGCTCCGAGAAGCAACAACAACATCAGCCATCATGGCCCGCACCAAGCAGACTGCCCGCAAGTCCACTGGCGGCAAGGCGCCCCGCAAGCAGCTGGCCACCAAGGTGCGCAGCGGTGATGCTGAGAGGCCCAAGGGAAAAGGGCTGGAGCCGGGCGAGTGGTTGGAGCAAGCGCTGTTGTTGAGCAGCAGCGCTGCTGCACACCAAGGGATCGACACGCCTGCTGCATTTCACATCATCACCTCTCTCAAACCCCCCTCTATTGCAACCCCCCTT